AGGTCCCTTCCAACCCAAACCATTCCATGATTCTATGATATTTTTCCTCCTATTTAAGTGTAAATGTGCGTACCTAAGAAAGCGTTTGTCTCTCCTTCACCTGTGGTAAATATGAATAGGAAGCGTGTTGGCTGATTTTTAGGAACATTTTCAGGTGGATTAACAGTCTGTATATAGACTCATCAGTAAAGTGTATCTACTCTCTTTTTTTTGTAAGGAACACTATATTGAAGCATGTCTGGAAGTTTCTACTTTGTGATAGTTGGTCATCATGATAATCCCATATTTGAAATGGAATTTCTGCCTCCTGGAAAAGTAGAGTCAAAGGTGTGTGGATTTTTTTCCCCTGTGATACTCCTATGATGTAAATACAGTACATTTCCTTTGTTCTTTTTACAATGTCTTAGAAGCATGACCAGCATGTTGTTAAAAGTGTTACTAGTATCCACTGCTTGATATTTTTTTTTTTTTTTTTTACAGAAACATCATCTTAGGGAGTAGAACTATGCTCATTATTGCTGTTTACAGTCATTTTCTGCCTTAAGGCAGCTGTACACAGTAATAAGGTAAAGGAACATGAATTTGAAAACTATAGTGAATCCCTTATTTTTTATGTTGTATTTTTTTTTAAAACCATATTCAATAGTCATACTTGCTTTTAAGTAAGAAAGGTTTAAAACTTGCATTGACAATTACGGGTTTGAGAATGTGGGAAATGTACAACTACTTAGTCAGTACTGTTTCCAGTGGGAAAAAGAATAAATCTAACCATTGTGATATTACATCAAAGGAAAAATAGACTTCAGAATAAAAGCTTATGGATGTGACTGTGTCCAGAAGTGGATGTATATGCTGTCACTGATTTGAACAGCATGATGTCATCCGTATTTTGAACTAGTGTTCTGCAAAAAAAATCCTAAATAAAACTGGTTGGACATTTTCTACCTTCTGCTGATGTAATTAACTTGGGTCGGGTAAGCTGCTTCTCTGAGGTGGAAATACTCAATTTTCTCCTGAGAGAGAATCTAAACCTGGTGTGCACTGGAGGAGAACTGGTGATACGTTTTGGCAACTATCACTTCTGTTTCTGAGACAGGCTGTTTAAGACTGAATTCCGTGCAGAGGCACAGCTGCCTGAAGTCAGTCGTTTGCATGATGTAGGTGGCACATCTGCACAAGCTTTTGCCCTTTAAACTTCACGACTTAATCTCTTCCTCAGTATGATTTAATGGAACTGGCAAAGATGTTCATGCCCTGAGCCAAATTTGATTTGGGGGAAAGACATAGTGCACTGAGCGGTGTGAGTGGCATTAATAGCATCCCTGTATTATGAGAAACGGTGCAAGAGTACTTATGCTTCCAGTCTAACAGAAGCTACCAGAAGGGTTTAGTGCCGTGTGTTCTTGGCAGATGTCCTCCAGTCTTCCCGTTCCTACACAGAGTAAATGGCTCTTTCCCACGTGACTCTTGCAGCGTTAGGGCCAAATGCTGTGAGTACTCTGCGAATGCCATTTCTGCTTATTATAGGAGGAGGTGTAATTTACATCTGCAAGCATGTATTTAATACCAGTTGCAGGGTATTTTGCTGCAGTAGGCTCTGCAGGAAGAAACCCCCTGAAACAATTAAAAGATACTGTGTTCCTAGGCAAATAACAATGAAAAAACCCCAAATCCTTAGTTAAGAATGCTATTAGCATATCTGTCCTCTCTATCTCTGTGCTTTCCCCATCTGTCCCCCAACTTTTACACAGTGTACCTATTGTTCAATTTCAGCCAAATTTCAGAGACATTATGGTCTAAAAAATGCTAAATTGCTGTAAATTTTACAAAAGCAGGTGACTGGAAAGCAGAGAAAAAGACTAGTGGGGCCTCTGATGTAGAGTAAGTTTGCAGTGGGAGATTACCCATTGGTAAATGAAAGCATTCATGCTTGAATTAATTTCTGAGTGACAAATACAGGCCTTACTGGTTTTGCTGCTCGCAGGACTGTTTTTGTGATGCCCTTTGTAGCATAACCATTCCTCTCCTTTGAAACCAAGTATTGTGACGCCACTCACTGGTTTCATTTCATGACAGGATGGCAGGCTGGGCAGAAAGGATGGGTATATTGAAATTTCATGTAACTAGTTGCTTAGCAGCTTGGGCAAATCATTGTTTATGTTTCAGTCCTTTCACTGAATTACTCATCTTTGTCCTCTGGAAACACACGATAGGACGATCATCGCCATCTCAACCAGTTCATTGCCCACGCTGCTCTTGACCTGGTAGACGAGAACATGTGGCTTTCGAACAACATGTACCTGAAGACTGTGGACAAGTTCAATGAATGGTTTGTTTCGGCTTTCGTCACGGCTGGACATATCCTTCCCTCTTCTCTTTCCTTACATTTTTGTTGGAAAAGCCTTTTGCCAGAAAGGATTAGGTTAGATGGAATTCAGTTTGGAACAGATTTCTCTGGCTGTTCACCACTCCTATTGCTGGAGAGAGTCACCAGCTTCAGGATGATGTAAGTCGGGAGGCACGGCAGCACTAGTTTAAAATTGGGACCAATTGGAAAGATGGGTTTTTGCTTTCGGACGAGCTGAAATAGCCTAATGAAATGTGGAACTCGCATGGAGTGGAAGAAAGGAATAGTATGAGAGGGTCTGAGCAACCTTACGTCATTGTCTGCTCCCTGTCGGTTCCCATCCCTTTCCTAGTGCTAAAGAGGAGAAGCAGGGATGAACAGGCTTGGCGTCAGTCACACCCACCCTGAAAACATGGTGTCAAGGCTTGATCTCGTGCACCCGCAGCCCTGGAGGTATTGGTTGTGGAACGTTTGTGATAGGTGGGAAGGAACACTGAACATCCTTTTAACTTCAGGGGTGCATGGCCAAGGGGCCGAGAGCAGTGTTCAGAACTGTCAAGCTTTAAAAGAATAACCTTGAATAGAGAGGTGATTCTTATGTTCAAATAGGGGGGTTTTAAAATATAAAGGTAATGCTTTCTAAATTTCACTGCTTCTGTTGCTTCTCTTAATGCTTCTTCCTATAGCCGCTGCTATCTCATGTGCAGCTAAACATTTTGAGTATATGCAGAATTAAGTGTAAGTGCCTATCTCGGGACGTGTTAACCATCTCTCTTCTTTGAAACAGTCAAATTTTCCTTAATTGCTTTACATATGAGATTTATAATGCTTCATGATGTAAGGCAAGAAGACGGCATTAAGAACTTCTTCAATGATGTCTATGACTTGTATATAAAGGTAAGACTCCACTTCTTAGGGTCTCCCTGCAGGACTTGTAAGCGTGTGCTGCTGATCGTGCTCAGGCATGCCTGCGTTAGCATGTTTTCTCGTGGGGGCCTGTGTTAGCAGAGAAGCACCCATGCTGTCCCCATTAGCCAGAGTTGGTAATGTGTGACATGAGCAGAAGAACGGTGGTTCTTTCGGAATTTGTCATGTTTAGTCCAGTGATTTTTGGGCAGGATTGTGTTGTTAATGGCGATGGTGAAAGCAAAGGTCTGTTCTGCAGAAGCCTGGCCGCAGGGCTTGGCTCTCAGAACAAGCAGCCCCGTGTTCTCACAGCCTGGCAGGGGGGGCAGTCGCAAGCACCGACTGGGAGAATCGCCATCTCCGCCTCCTGCAGGGGCTGAAACGATGCTCATTTCTAAACCGGGAATTTCCAGCAGTGTCCTGATGGGTTTGCTCTGTGGCTGGGACTGAGAGATGGCTCTGCACACACGTGGGGAGAATGCAAGGGCCCGAAAGCAAGCGACTGTTTGGGAGCTCCGTGCTCTTAAGTGGCACTAATGGGCTGAAAGCTGATAGTAGTTGCCGTCTGCAGTAATGTTCCCCGGTGCTGGACGTTGTGCCTACTGACGAGTTGTTTTTCTTTCCTCAGTTTGCGATGAATCCGTTTTATGAACTCAATTCTCCCATTCGATCCAGTGCCTTTGAAAGGAAAGTACAGTTCCTGGGGAAGAAACACCTTTTAAGCTGAATAGATAACTTTCCTGAGTGAGTCCTTTTTCCATACTTTCCTGATTATTTGAACTGTAGTTCTTCTGGTTAGTTCTCGGCATGTTTGACATTCATACTCTGAAGGTCAACAGACTGGATGCTGAAGAAGGGGTTTGTGTTGTTGGGGTTCTTTTCCTGGTACAGATAAGAACAGCCAAGCTTCTCCGGTGAAAACCTTCCCTTTTATGTGTTACAAAAACCAAGTTTAAAATGTCAGGAGCCGAGTAGGTACAAACTGAGACGTGTGGGTGTCAGTGTGTATGCAAAATGTAAGCCTCTTATCCGGATTGGGAAGAAATCAGATCTGAGCACAAAAGATGTCTCCAGTGGTGTGATTTAATACGAGCAAAAGGGAATTCTTGACTGTGTGGTCCAAGTGGTTAATTTTGTTATAAACCTCTCTAACTTACAGTCCTTTGCTAGAGAACTGACTGTGCAGGCTAACTTTACTCTTTGCGGTATTAAATCAGGTCTGTATTCATGTTGTACTCTGTAATGTATGTATTGTAAAGTGCTAAATAAAAAGAGCAGAGGATATATCAGCAAAGCTTTGTTCTTCAGTATTTCAGGAAGCTTTGAGGGGAAAAAAAACCTGTAAAAAGTTGCAGAGCTTGACTGCAAATTTACCAGATGTTTGGTTCAATACGTGTTTAGCTGCGGCGTCCCATCAGCGAGATGAATTAGTACAGCAGGTCAGCACCGCTATGTCTGCCCTGACTTTAATTAACACATGATAAAAACCACAACTAAATTTACATGTTTAAATCCACTTCTTGGCATCATCTCGGCAAGTGCTGAAATTTTATTTTTGAAAATATATTTAGGCCAGGATCTTTGAACCATGACACTCTTGTTTGTTGAGGTTTCAGAAAGGTATTACTTGGCTGGTCTGGCTGCTATTCCATTGTAAAATGCCGTTAGGGACCCTTTTGCAAAGGGTCATTCCTTTGCAAATCATTCCAAAGTCGGAATTTATAAATGGGTTATTTGGCATACATGTACTTAATGTTTTGGTTGGTTTCTCAATCTTTTAAGTAGTCTGTTTCCTTGTGAAGTAAATCCGTATAAGCTATTTCCTTGAACTTCTTTTTTTTTAAATGTCTGACAAGGAATTTCCAAAGGAAGTAGCACGCTGCTCTAGGAAGTACATTGTGCATAGTCCGTGTAATTAAAGGGACCACATGTATATGAGCTTTAAATGTTGAGTCAGTCGTTATTTCTTTGTCATTTACACTCAGTGCTAAGCTGTCACTGTAAAATACTCCATGAGATAAAGAACATGATCTAAAGGTTGCAGTATCTACCTTAAATGAAATGTGGGCTGATGCAGTGGGGATGCCTGCTTGAGCGTACTTGAAATGACATAGAAGAAAAGGAGATGATGACCTTAAGGCTGCCTTTACTGGCAGAGTGGCACATGGAGATGAGATTACTGCTCTTTGCAGTATTATTTCATAAAAATTGCATTGTACAGCATTTTGGCAACGTCATGTAATCTTACTAAATCAGCTGAAGTTTTGAGGTTCAGTTTGGGGTTGGGTTTGTTTTATGCTTTATAGATGAAAGCAATAGAAACACCTGAGGTAAAGGATGCTCATTTATACGAGAAGGCACCATGAAGCTGGAGCTGTTGGCGCTGTTTTCTGCCCTCTCCCCAGCGCCACGATGGTCGGAAAAACAACAGTTAAGATTCACTGGGGAAATGCTTATGTTAAATAACCACGTATGTGACAGTAAGAAAAGCTTTGGCAAAGATAAAGGATTTCACCACTTTTAGAAACTGTGGGATTTTGATACTTGTATTCTTTTCTGCCATGTGAAATGAAAGCATTTTCTCTCTTGCCTGATCTAAGACAGTTAGCTAAACGGTGCCTGCTCTTACGCCCCCCATACATCTTTCTCCTTCCAAATACAGGAACTGTAAATGGGAAATGCAGCCTCCTAGGATCAGCCAGGCTTTAGGAAAACAGGCCGCTACTGGCCACAGGTGAGTTGTGTGCTAACTCACGACATCAGTCATTGTAGGGTTTGCGGTGAGGAACGCTGTCCCGGGACAGTATCTGAAGGGCCTTGGCTGGGTAGCTGTGACCTCCCCGTGTACGGAGGAACGCTGGTTTGTGCTTTGGTTTGTGGCTTTTCACAGTAAGTCGAAAGACTGCTGTCTGGAAGCGACACGTGGAAGTTACCTTGTGATCGCCTATAGGAACAACTCTGCTCCAGGTCCGAAAGATGCGGTTCAGGCGTGCATCAGAGAATGACCGTTCCCAGCAGCATGAAGGGCAGTGGACAAGGCAGAAGAGAGACGTCCTTTGCAAGTATTACGTTCATACCTAATCTCAGAGGTTTAGGAGTAAGAATCCAAATGAAATTCGTTGCACTGTGAGAAAGCAGGAGTTGTACAATGAGCTGTTAGCTGTGTCCTAGCTGTAGTTTCTCCTGCCTTTTCCCTTTTTGCTGTATGCTCTAATATGCATAGCTTGCGTCAGTCCCACCAGGTTGCCGTGACAGTATTTGTGCTCCTCCTTGTAAAGGACATCCGGAACTGCGCATACATGTCACGTAGTACGCTCTGTCACTCTACAGGGCTCAGTCTTGCTAACAAGACCCCCTGACACTTGAGGTACACCAATACTTGAAATGTGTCAGTGAATTGAAACATAAGCCACAAATGCCTACCTCACCTCTATGTTGCATGGATCATTGAATCTTTTAGGTTGGAAAAGACCTCTAAGATGATCAAGTCCAACCATTAATCCAGCACTGCCAAGGCCACCACTAAACTGTGTCCCTGAGCACCTCAGCTACATGTCTTTCAAACACCTCCAGGGCTGATGCCTCCACCACATCCCTGGGCAGCCCATTTTAATGCTTGACAACCCTTTCTGTGAAGAAATTTTTCCCAGTATCCAATCTAGAGGCCATTTCCTGTCACTTGTCACATGGGAGAAGTGACTAACCCCCACCTCCTTTCAGGTGGCTCTAGAGAGTGATAAGGTCTCCCCTCAGCCTCCTCTTCTCCAGGCTAAACACCCCCAGCCCCCTCAGCTGCTCTTCACAGCACTTGTGCTCCAGACCCTTCCCCAGCTCTGTTGCCCTTCTCTGGACACACTCCAGCACCTCAATGTCTTTCTTGCAGTGAGGGGCCCAAAACAGAACACGGGATTTGAGGTGCGCCCTCGCCAGTGCCCAGTACATGGGGACAATCCCTTCCCTAGTCCTGCTGGACCCGCTGTCCCTGATGCAGGCCAAGATGCCATTGGCCTTCTTAGCCACCTGGGCACACTGCTGACTCATATTCAGCCGGCTCTTGACAGACACCACCAGCTCCCTTTCCATCTGGCAGTTCTCCAGCCACTTGTCCCCAAAGCCTCTAGCACTGCAGGGGTTTGTTGTGACCCCGGTGCAGGACCCAGCAAGGTGCAGGATCCAGCCCTGAGCCTTGTTGCCCCTCACACAGCGGGCCTTGGCCCATAAACCCAGCCTGTCCAGATCCCTCTGAAGAGCCTTCCTACCCTCAAGCAGATCAACACTCCTGGCCAACTTGGTGTTGTCTGCAAACTTACTGGGGGTGCACTTGATCCCCTTGTCCAAATCATTGACAAAGATGTTAAACAGAACCGGCCCCAGTACAGAGCCCTGGAGAACACCACTTGTTACCGGCCACCAACTGGATTTAACTCCATTCACCACCACTCTCTGGGCCAGACCCTCCAGCCAGATTTCACCCAGCGAAGACTGCGCCCATCCAAGCCACGAGCAGCCAGTTTATCCAGGACAATGCTGTGGGAAACAGTGTCAAAGGTTTCACTACAGTCTGGTTAGGCAACACCCACAGCCTTTCCCTCATCCACTGAGCGGGTGACCTTTGTCACAGAAGGAGATCAGGTTCGTCAAGCTGCAATGTTTTTTATTGTCTTCTATGGCTGGAGTCAATTAGGTTCTAGCTGGGCTTTGACCCTTCTATTTTTTCCCTGCACAACCTCAAACATCCTTCTGGTCCTCCTGAGTGGCCTGCCCCTTCTTCCAGAGCTTGTAAACTCTTTTTTTCCTGAGCTCCAGCCAAAGCTCTCCATTCAGCCAGGCCCATCTTCCCTGCTGGCTTGCCTTCCAGCACAGGGGGACAGCCTGCTCCTGCACCTTTAAAATTTCCTTCTTGAAGAATGTCCAGCCCTTCTGGACGACTCTGCCCTTCAGGACAGCCTCCCCAGGGACTCTGTCAGCCAGGCCCCTAAACAGGCCAAAGTCTGCGCTCCCTAAGTCCAGAGGGGCAGTTCTGCTGACCCCCTCCTTACTTCTGAGCTTTCACAAAACACAGAAAAGCCTGTTTGTCAGCAAGCATTACAAGGAGTGGGGTTTGGCTTCTTTTGGTACCCACCATCTACACCGGCTTTTTGTAGGACTCTTGCTTCTTTCGAGTACTTGAGTCTCCCTCTCAGACCAAATCCTGACCTCAACGCAATTCCTATGCCGTCTCATTTTTCCTATGCCGTCTCATTTACTGCAGCATGGAATCCCTCCTTGATCTTCACTAGCCAC